TTTTAACGATATGAGGCCTCATACTATATATGTTTACCTTATAATGCCTCATATTACATATTTTAACGTTATGTTAACAGATACTAAACATTTTAACGTTATGAGGCCTCATGCTATATATTTTAATGTTATGATGCCTCATACTGCATATTTAACGTTATAATACCTCATACTACATTTTAACGTTATGATACCATATATCAAATATTTTAACGTTATGATACCGCATACTATATATTTTAACGTTATGATGCCTCATACTACATATTTTTATGTTATGATTCCTCATACTACATATTTTAGCGTAATAATAACATTTACTAAATATGTTAACGTTATGATGACGCATACTAAAAATTTTAACGTTATGAGGCCATACACTACATAGTTTAAAGTTATGATGTTGCATACTACATATGTTAACGTTATGATCAGGTATACTATATATATTTTAACATTGTGATGCTTCATACTACATATTTTAATCTTATGATGCCATTTATGACATATTTTAACGTTATAATGCGACATAATATAACGTTTTATCAAATTGCATGAAAACAACTGAGCATCCTATTATTAATCCTGTCATCTGGCCCGAATAGTATATTCAGTAAAGTGCTATTCCCAGGAAAGTGTTGGGCGTACTTCGGAGGCCCAGACAGTTGGCGTCATTCCCAAAGGTGTAACCTAAGCCTACTTAGTTGAGGCATCATCAAGAAGAGGATATATTTTGAACGTGAATTATCGGTAAAGCGTTTGTTGGTCCCTCAAAGTTTAAAATAACCTAACTCAACTGAATTTCAGCTGCCCAAAATTCAGCTTAAGAAGAAAGTGACATTTAAACAACGCTATTGCGATCGCTGCTCGGGTAACTAATGAGCACTGATGGAAATGAGGATCTTAAAATGAAAAGCTCATAGTTTGATTGCCATTCTCGCAGATGGCGGGATTCCAGTCGTGTGGAGAACCGGTGAAATATTCTCAAGAGAAATATTTTGGAAGGCGGAAAGCAATTCTTATAAGAAAAAAAAATTTGGTAAAAAAAATGTTAGAAGTTTGCAAAGTAATTACGTCTGAAGAAGTTATCAAGTGCCCGTTTACTATTTACAGTAGGTTGGCATAAGTCATTAGTTGAAACGGAAATGACTTTTATAAATAATTTTAATTTTCTGCTTTGTTCAATCTGACTTCTTGATTAGGTCCTATTGAAACGTTTGAGAAATTATTACATTGCTTACACTCACAAATTAATTAAAGTAAGTGATTCTTTTGCATACGTCCGCCCATTTTATATATATATATATATATATATATATATATATATATATATATATATATATATGAATTATTCACACAAAACTAATGCAAAGGTTAATGATTTTAAATGGCGAGACATCCATCTCGCAAACAATTCAAATATTACACAAAAACCTCAGCTCCGTTATGAATGAATTGATCCTTGTTCATATAAATTTCTGCCGTATTAGTTGTTATTTTACACAAGCTTTCGTCTGTTCCTACAGACATCTTTCAGGTATATAATAGATGTTGTTCTTGTTTTTTTCTCTTAGTAATAAGAGGACATCGAAAATATATGTGTATTGTATCCGAAATGCTATTGAAAATGAGATATTGGTTTTTGAACGCGCACAAAGCAACGCTAAGTTTGATTTTGAATTTTTCCTTTTTTTTTTTTTTATTTTAAAATGTTTGCGTTTATACCAAATATGGTAATGAACAAATTATTTTACTGGTAAATTTTACTGTCAAAGTGGCATGAACTATATTGTTCAATAATTACAGTAATGTCGCACTTATTAACCAAAAGTCGCACATGGATCAGATATTTAAATTACAATAAACGTGCAATCAATTTACAAATACATGAATTATTCACACAAAACTAATGCAAAGGTTAATGATTTTAAATGGCGAGACATCCATCTCGCAAACAATTCAAATATTACACAAAAACCTCAGATCCGTTATGAATGAATTGATCCTTGTTCATATAAATTTCTGCCATATTAGTTGTTATTTTTATATATATAAAAAAAAAAAAAGGAAAAATTCAAAATCAAACTTAGCGTTGCTTTGTGCGCGTTCAAAAACCAATATCTCATTTTCAATAGCATTTCGGATACAATACACATATATTTTCGATGTCCTCTTATTACTAAGAGAAAAAAACAAGAACAACATCTATTATATACCTGAAGATGTCTGTAGGAACAGACGAAAGCTTGTGTAAAAATACAAAATTTAATGATCGAAATAAAAGTATAAAACTTAATATTACGAGGCATATTAAAAACGGGCGAAGCAACCGGTTTCGTTCCCGCTCTTCAGGCTTCAACGGGAGATTTAAAATTAACACAGAAAAATGTACAATAAAAGGAAGTTGTGAAAAAAAAAAGCCTTCTTTGAGTGTTTGTTGGGACTGGCTGTCATTTGGCTCTAGTTCCTTTTTTTCTAAATTTTATTTTATTTATATATATATATATATATATATATATATATATATATATATAAAAACGGACCACTTTAAGGTTCCATTTTAATGATTTATTTCCTTTCATGAGCCCTTTTAAAGGACTCTGGATCATCAGATAGCACTTCAAAAGATGAAACGAAATGAAATGAAAATTGAAAAATGAAATGAAATTGAAAAATTTTCCATTTCATTTCGTTTTATCTTTTGGAAGTACTATCTGATGATCCAGAGTCATTTAAAAGGGCTCTGGTGAAGTAAATTATTATAATGGAACCATAAAGTGGTCTTTTTTTCTTTAAAATATTAGCTCTGAATTTACATTGAGCTCTCAGGATGTCATCCTCCTTTGAATTACCCACACGGATTAGCAATTTTTTCATAATAAGGGGTTTTAGCCTGGGGAGTTAGGTGGCCAGATGCAGAGTCTTGTTGCCAGACATAGGGTTTTCCAGCAGCCACCATCTTTACCCAGGACAGCACTACCTTCTCAAGGCACTTGATGTAGGCCTATATGTTGAGTCTGAGTCCCTGTGAGAAGATATGTGGAAGTATAATATCGTCATCACTAGGGATCACTCCAAACACCGTGATGTTGATCCAACACTTTCCGAATCCTCTGCACTGTCAACCAACACCCTGAAAAGTTTGTATTAGAGCTTCCGGCGCGAAAGCCAAGCTGGGCGGCATGCCTTTTCCAAATTTATGGTGACGTGAATTGCGTCATGTTAATCCTTTTCTCACAGACGGTGCCCAACTATACTTTGCAGTAGACAAAATTAAATACAACGTACACGCATGCGCGAAATTAAAACTATAATACGACGAAATTTTACCTATTGGACACTGTACACACACACACACACACACACACACACACACACATATATATATATATATATATATATATATATATATATATATATATAAATAAAAAAAAAAATTCGACCAAATGAATATATAGTCATCAGTGTGGCGAGACATCCGACTGATTCAAGTCGGGATCGAACCCTGACAGAGTTGGCACCAGTCAGAGATTATACTCCCAAGTTATCGTCGCACGGCGGAGAGAAAGGAAAATTTTAACGCTTTTACTATGCGAAAAAGGAGAGCTCGATTCTAGATGAAGAGCCTTGCATTAACAGCAGCACCCACTGTTTATAAACCACCTCTTCCTCTCCGAGAGCGCAATAGAATTATTTCGAGAAAATAGTCATCCACAGACAGGCTGTTTCGCTGTATATATATATATATATATATATATATATATATATATATATATGGTGAGAGAGAGAGAGAGTTAGTGAGAGAGAGATAGTGAATTGATACAAGTAAAATGTTTTTCACTTAGCTGATTGATGTTGCCTTAAGCATCCAGATTATAGAGTCTCGTAAACAGATGCGTCCATCCACTCGTCAGTGGGTATCAACAATTGACTGCTTATTCTTCTCGAGTTTTCTTTGCACCAATGATAACTGCATATCATTCTATGTATATTCATATACATCATTCGTTTATACAAGTTTTGGTATATAGTCTTGTATATTATGTGTCCGAGAGGGAGATAGAGAAAGAGGGAAAGAGAAAGAGAGAGAAAGAGAAACAGCAGATTGACTATTTCATGTATATGTTGCGTGTATGCGTGTACGTGTTAGTCAGAATATGTGCCTTAATATGTATACGTGTGTCGTCACGTGCGCCTGTTTATATGTATCTCTGTCTATCAGTGCCACTGTGTATGTATACAAATGTACGTATGCGCGCGTAAGACGATGTATGCCTACGTTTGCGTGTGTTTGTGGATATCTATGTCATTGACATGCGTATATATGTGCTTTTGTGTTGACACATGTGTATTTCGAAGTCAAATTTATTTCATCTCAGTATTTCTTTTCCCTTTTTCCATGACAAAATCTTTCTACCTCGCCCCTAGCCGCTGCCGCCACCGCTGCCGCCACCGCTGCCGCCACCGCCGCCGCACCGCCATTCACACCTACATCAACTCTCCCTTGATCTATGGTCACTTTACTTTCTTTGCCTCTTGCTATACATTGCCTAGAAATTGCTGATCTTTTCGCTTCTTGTCGACTCACAGACATAACGTTGTTATGTTTTATGGGGTTTTTGAGAATCCTCTTTTTGCCATTTTTGATTCTACACTATTCTTTTGTCCTTTCTTTTCTTATTTCTTTCTTTACTTCCTTTTTTTTTAATCCAACTTCTTTTCTTCTGATGCCGTTCAATTTCTTCCTTTACTTTCATTGTGATATTTTTGTATTTGAGTTGATTTTCTTTTACCTTTCTTCATTGTTCCAGTATTTATTTGGATGTTGTCTTTCCTTCGTTTTTTTCTTTCATTTTTTTGTCGTATTTTCTCTTCTTTTTTTCTTCTTTCCTTTTTTATTTTGTTTTTTATATTTTTCACTCTGAGTTTTTCTTTCTTTATTTCATTTTCTCTATTCCTTTTCTTTATTTCTTTTTCTTTATTTATTTGTTCTTTCCTAGTCTTTCTTTTTTTTCTTTCTTTCTTTCCTTCTTTCTTTCTTTCTCCGTTTATTTCTCCATTCATTTATCATTTTTCTTTCTTTCTTTCTTTCTTTCTTTCTTTCTTTCTTTCTTTCTTTCTTTCTTTAATTATTTGTCCTTTTCTCGTTCTCTTTTCTCCTTTCTTTCTTTCTATCTGCATTTTTCTCTTTCTTTCTTTCTTTCTTTCTTTCTTTCTTTTTCTTTCTTTCTTTTTTATCTTTTTTATTAATTTCTCCCTTCTATTTCCCTCTCTTTTCTTCTTCATTTATTTGTTACTTTCTTCTTTACCTCCCTTTCTTTGTCTTTTTATTACTTTCTTTCTCTTTCTTTCTTTCTTTCTCCCCATGTTTTTCCGTTCTTTCTTTCTTTCCTTTTCTCTCTCTTTCTTGCCTTTACTCTCTCCCACCCCCTCTTTTCCTTTATTTATTGCAGTCTTTTTCTCTTTCTCGCTTCTTTCTTTCTTTAATTTTCTGATTCTTTCTTAATTTATTTTCTTGTTTTTCTTTATTCTCCTTTTTATTCCTCTCTCTTTCCTTCTTTATTTATTTCTCATTTTCTTCTTTTCCTTCGTTTCTCTGTCTCGTTATTACTTTCTTTTTCTCTTTTTTCGTTTTATTCTTTCTTTCTGTCTTGCTTTCTTCCTTGTTTTCGGTTCTTTCTTTATTATAGACCTAAAATAAACATATTTTGGCTTCCCTCAGTTTCCTTTTCTTCTCTTCGCTCCACTGTCTTTGTTTACCTGAATTTCCCTCATTCACCAATAAACTCTTTTATTAATTTTTTTTTTTAAATTTACTTTCCTTCATTCAGGTCTTCATTCATTCGTTTCAAATTTTTTTCTTTCTTTTAAGTAATTTTCATGCATTTTATTTGGAGTTTTTCTTCGCTCATCGTTTTGTTTTTAGCCTTTTTTATATTTGGACCTCATGATTTTCTTGGATTTTTTTCCGTTTCTTCTTCACCGTCTCTTCCCTTGCCAGCTTGCGACTCGATCATTTTTTTTTTCTCGACAATCTGTCAAGTTGTCTCGGCTTACGAATTGATTTTGCACTAACACCCCATCGTGATATACAGACCACCGAATTCAAAAAGTAAAACCTTTCACACACACACACACACACACACACACACACACACACACATATATATATATATATATATATATATATATATATATATATATATATATATATATATATATATATGCCTGTGTCTGTCTACACACACACAGATATATATGTCTGTGTGTTTCACACAAGAACATACAGATATATTGTTTCTGAAATGAATCTCCACTCAAATAAACACGCACGCGCTCGCACGCACACACACACACACACACACATATATATATATATATATATATATATATATATATATATATATGTGTCTGTCTACACACACACACACCGATATATATGTTTGTGTGTTTCACACAGAACTCACAGACATATTGTTTCTTAAATGAATCTACAATCAAATAAACACGCACGCACATACACACACACACGCGCATATATATATATATATATATATATATATATATATATATATATATATATATATATTATATATATATATATATGCCTGTGTCTGTACACACACACACACACACACACATATATATATATATATATATATATATATATATATATATATATATATATATATGTATATCGATATAAAAACTCTATTCAACATAAAAATACTTTCCGCATTTTTCTACAAGATAGTACACTTACGAATTATTCCCTGGTTTTACAAATATTACCGCTCAAAATGGTAATGCCGAACTATCCACGTATTGTCGGCTCGCAGATGCTGCTTTTATCAAGCAGCTCGCCCACTCGTATACCCACATGCGTCGGCCCGTAAAGAAATCCTCATATTTTATTAATTTACACACATCAACCAAAAATATTGCAGGCAGGCTAGTAGATATTGAACCTACCTACTAAAAACACATTACATTTTTAACTTGTTTTACAGTGCTAATTTATGGAAGTCTGTTAAAATGGCATCCGACACGAAAGTGCGTACTAATCAGTAAATCTCTCAATGAATTTCACTTCGCATGCGGATAGAAATTGCATCTATTGACACTGGTTGGATTGATGCTTGCCTAATTTCTACGGATATCAAACAGTGGATGTTTGCTCATCCTTGGTGCACACTACTAACGAAGCGGTCATGTTTACACTGTAACAGCAGCAAGAAAACAGGCGCGATCAAGCTCAAGCTTCGATCAAGTAATCAAAATAGTACCAACTTAAGCACGCATGAGCAGAATGCAGTGTGACAAATGTTATGTCGAAAATGCGAATATTTTTTTTACTCCCTTTTAGTTGTAGTTTTCTCTATTAGTTATTAACAGATCAGATGTATAGAAATTAAGCTGGTCATTAACATTTTATTTTTTTTAACAATATTTTTCAATCACATCGAAATTTACCCTGAACGCTGGCCATATCATTGAACTGAAGAAACGCAAGATGCATTATCACTCAGATAAATGACTTCATCCTCCCAAAAACTATTTCATAACGATGAAAAAAAACTGTCTAATATATCAATGTACAGCTAGATATTAACTGTTGGTGTCATGAGTGCCATTTATTCTAGTCTTTGCCTGACATGCAACACCCTATTATAAATGAGTCGAAATATTTTCTACAAGGTCATCTCTATATGTTTCATTGAAACGGCACAAGACAGGTTTCAGTATCATCGATTTTGCCAATACGTGAATAATTCACTGAATATCATACTCCATATGTGATTTTCTGCAGCCCAAACCACGCTTGTTTTCCTCTGTTCAATAAGTCAATGCTAGTTTTTTCGTTTGCGTATTCTATCGGTGGGCGCGTGACCGAGAGGGTGAAGCGTTTGTTTCCAAACTGTGAAACGCGGAATTCGATTCTCAGTATGGTCGGCTTGTAAGGGAGTTAACCTCTTGATGTTATCAGACGCTTCCCATCATGTAGCACATTTAGAAAATGCTCGCAAACTATACCACCGATTGACTGAATAATTGACAGTGAAAGTAGGCAGACCGAACTAGTTGGAAGCAGTCGACGATCGGGCTAGCATGAGATCACAAGTGATCGTGGTTGAGGATTTCAAGCCTAAGGAGAGAAGCTCATAATCTGGCGTTGCAGTATAAATCTTACATAGGCTGTCCCCTGATGTTGAACAAATACAAATATTCCAGAGCAGTAGTTTACAACAGGGGTTGGTTACCCATCTTAGTAAACCGGCGTGCTTGGGAATGAAAAGCCAACCACTATTCGTAGTGCAAATATCATTTCATTCAGACAACGTTCCTTTTTCCAGCCGTTTTTCACTCGCTTATTTCATATAGGCAGACATGGTGGAGTAATGGATAGCGGTTCGGATTGAGGAATCGGAGAGCCGAGTTCAAATTCCAATCGAATCCATTACATTTACTTACGTGCTAATACCCTTGAAAAAGTCATGAATCCTATTCTTCTCCCTTCCAGCTATGAGTAAATAGCAAGACAGACTGGGTTCTATAGGTTCCTTGGATGGCAGCTGGTCTACCGCAGAAAGAAATGGAAAAAACTGCCTCGTCAGTCATGTATTGAAAGATACATGATTGCCTAAACATGGCGCCTGAATGACTTATTTTTCTATCTTATGAGGTATTAAAATTATTTGTTTGTCTACTCGTTTCTTATCCATTTAGAACTTACTCATTTAGCGGGGATTATTTTGCTTTACGGTATATCAATCTCAATGGGTTATTTACTACCAACAGGATAGGTTCGTTTGAATAAAATATGTATTCTTTGTAAGAAAGCAGTTTGTAAGTCAAGCCTCTTTGACGTATTTTTATAAAGAGGGGTTTTGTCGAGAGTCAAATGTTTTACTTGTAATATTTTTTTTCCAAAAAGTATTGCTGGTATTTTTACTATAAAAACCTATTTTTGTATGTTCATAGTGTTTCAACCCCAGTTTGGTGATTGGCCATTTGTTCATATCTGGGATCCTAACAGATGCTACAACCCCGGGCCAGGGTGGACGTGGGAACAACAGCAATAAAGAAGTGGTTCCATGCTCCTCAAAACCCCCTGATCAGAGTTCTTGCTTTAAGATGTAGTTTATCATCATACCCAAGACGACTCATTTTGTTTATACCGTAATACAAATTTTAAATACACCTTTCAAACTTGCAAAACATAAAATGTTTGGAAGAATAATAGAAAGAGCGATGACAGTGGTTTTGATAAGCATAATTACTTGGGAAAAATATATTATAGAAAAAGAAATTTATATTATACAAATATATTTACATTTTAAGAATTTTTTAAAATTTAAATATTATAAGATTTTAAAATTTAAACTCAGAAAATGATACCTATTTCCATCCATTTATTTGTTCCTGATACTAAAATTCACTCAATACAAGACTCGAGCCGTCCTGGGTATGACGATAAACTACGTCCAACAGCAAGGCCTCTAATCAAGTTTTGAGGAGCGTGGAACCACTTCTTAATTGCTGGTGTTTCCAGGTCCACCCTGACCCGGCTGGAAGCACCTGTTAGGGCCCCATCTATGGGCAAATAATTAACCGCCAAAATGGGGTAAAACACTATGAAATTGTAAAAATAGGTTTTAATACCAGAAATACTTTGTAAAACGTTATTACCAGCAATAAAAATGTTGTCGGCATTAAATAACCCATTGAGGTTGATATGCCGTAAAACAAACCAAGCCAAACCAACCAACCAAGTCTCGAGAACAACTCGAAGAAGAGAGCTACTATTAAAAATAGTTGTGGTGAAGAAGGGGTGATATGAATGCAAGTGGACTTGGTATAAAGTGAAGGAATAGCAAGACAAATAATGATTAAGATTGAAATGGTTAAGATTGTAGCCTTCAGGAAAACATCGACACGGGAGTCTGTGTCACGAAGTAGTATTTTGTGGGAAGAATATATTTTAAAATTTATTGTTGCGCTTGGAATACGGTGGAAACCAGGTCAATTCGAATCCGTGGAAGAAGAATGGTGCGTCCTAGCCGTAAAGGTCTGAACTGAGAAAACTAAAGAAACGAAATAGCGACATAATAGAAATAGGATTGAAAAGGACTGCAAAGTATCTTCCCAAACAATATCCCGTAAATGATTCTTAGTTCTATTAAGACTGGAAAGGGATGATTGTATACTCCCCACCCAGCTATTGCAGTTATACTCCATTTTTACTTTGACTTACAACTAAATAACGTTGAAACAGCGGTTCTCGTACGATCACCAAAGTTAAGCAAGGTCGAGTATGGTTAGTACGTAGACGGGTAACCGCTTGGAAATATCAGGTGCTGTAAGCTTGGGTATGCGAGTGGTGTAAAGGATAACCGTTCGGAATTGGAAATGGGATAGCTGATTTCCAATTTAGGAAAGGTATGAATCTACCTCTTTTCTCCCCGCTATGGGTTAATTAATAGAACTTGTATCAGTAAATTATTATTATCTCAAAAAAAAAAATCTTACAATCCAAAAATACTGTCTGGCTTTAAGTAATCTGCAAAAGTTTGGTAAAAAAAAATCAATCAATTCCTCGATTTTCTTTTAATCTGATCCTTGTAAATGCACCTTCCGTAGCGGTAAAGCGAGCCGACCATTTTTTAAAGCATCCTAAGCAATGAATTGTATATATGAACTTGCTTCAGGTCTAACAGACGTTCAAAGCATGGACTGTAGTTAAGAACTCAACTGTTTATCGTGAGAAACCCCAGGGTCTGTTCGGTGATGATGGAACGATGCTAGTTTGGTTTTTGAGGTACTAAATGTTTTAGGTTTGGTTGTTTTTTTTTCTTCGCCATTGAGCCGGAAACTAACGAATGGTACTTATCTGAACTTTTGTCATGGAAACTTGCGACGGTGTTCAATCTATATGTTCAAGAAAACTTTGAGTTTTCTATCCTGAGGCTGTGCATAGTGTCTGCTTCTAACATCATTTTGTTTATATATTTATAAAAGTTTTACACCCAGTCGACTGTAAACAACCAACCTCTTTTGCTACATACCACATTCGACTTGTTAAAAGAGGTTTTATAATACATTCTCCTCTTTCAATCGACAACTCTCTTAGTGCAGTCATGTTTTAACTCATCTAGCTAAATGCACCTTGTTAGCTTCGAGAGACTAATTTACATATTTGCCCATGTGCTGGTATTTGTTTTAGTAATAAACAACATTGATTATTTCCATTATTTTTTGCGCTGCTTGATCTGTTACAAATATTGGATTAATTTAAATAATTTAGTATGTTTGAGGTAAATGTTATGAAGCCAGAATGTTCTGCTAAATAAGATTGGATATAAAGGTGATGTGTTCATTACTGCGAAGCTAACAAGTAGCGTGAATTTCTTCTCAATTAAGTGAATCCATACGTTCACTCAGGTGGCAGAGATAGATAGATAGATAGATAGATAGATAAATAGATAGATAGATAGATAGATATAGGGCCTCTTCAAAATTCTCTAGTTGTCATACCCACCAAAATATAATAATCACTTCTTGGCCGAAAGCTTTTTAGTAAATTCACACACAGAGACACATGCACACACACACACACACACAAACACACACACACACACACACAGACTGACAGATAGATAGATAGATAGATAGATAGATAGATAGATAGATAGATAGAATGATTGCGAGTCAGTGGGAGATACACGCTTCGTCGAAATATTTAATAATCTAGTCTACCATGCTAGTTAACATTCGTGTCAGTAAGCTGTTGGCTTTCACGCTGGCCAATAGAATCTTCCTGGCTATTCGTGGCAGCCAGCTATAGGCTCTCACTCTGGCCAGTAGAAAATGGCCGCAAACTACATGAAAACTGCCGTAGAAGCATGAAAAATCGCTTATTTCCACTATCGATGGGAGTTGGGAAATGCAAAGTCGGTCTTGGCCTTCCCGCTAACTTGGAGCATGTGCATGTAAACTTTGGTGCAAATCCGTTACACACACACACACACACACACACACACACATCCTGCCTTTTATAGATAGAGATTAAGGGATCGAATAAAGACAAAATAATTCTATTATTTTTAAATTCCTATAACTTTTACGTACATAGGACGCTGAAGGTAAAAGGGTTCACCCAAAAGACCTCTGGAGGAGTTCGCCTAAAGTTAGTCCGAAAGGCGTCTTCTAGGCTAGTAATATAAAAATACGCATTTGAACATATTATAGGATATACATTATTTACACACCAAGTATTGTCCCCATCGTTGTTGTTGTTGTTATCATAACGTTTCGGCTGTTGTGCCTTCCGGCCTTCATCAGGTGATTGGTAAGGTTTCGAGAGCGCCATTAGAAAGTACTACACTTCAGTTGCTGTCCGGCCATTGACGCACTAGAAGCTCAATAATTGTTGTGTCGTGGCACAATAGTAAAAATAAAAAGTTGGTTTAAAGAACAAGTGTATTTAACATCACAGATACAAAGGTAGGAAACGGGTACTACTCAGCTAGGCAGTTGTAGTACTGTCGCTGCTTACACCGGGTAGGTATTACTGGCACTATATATAGTGAGAACCGGTGTAATTCCCCTGTGTTAGAGGCCGGTGCAACAATAATCATCATGTCTTCAGAATTCGATCATCGAGCTGCCGTTGTGGGGTTTAAATACCATAAAACCATGGTGTATTACCTTGCAAATGCATATGGAGCCTCAGACGACAAGGACAATTTTGGGCCGGAACGCAAAACTCACAAGACGCGCTCTGGAATTTTTCGCCAAGATTGTCAATGAGAACTCCAATAAAAAGTATAAGAAGAATAGCCAAGGAAATGGCCACCCGCAGGCGAAGAATCGGGTATATTATTACGGAGAACATGAATTATATATCTTACGTGCTCGTCTTGGAGATGGAAGTGAATAGTGGGACCTATAACACCAAGGAGACTCTCAAGGCAGCCATCAGGGACGCCATGACTAATATGGACAGCGGCACCGTTACTAAAGCTTGATCCAGCTTCCAGTTCCGTCAGAAGAAAGTGGAGGCCATCAAAGGTGTCCACGTCGAGTGATGTATGTACCTGCGTATAAAATTACAGTGAAATACATTACTTTGTTATATAAAACTGCTTTTTTTTTCATCCATTAATTTTTTCCGGATTTATCTGCACCCAACTTAACATTTTTTATTTGCATTTTTTTATGTGGGCATCTCAACAATATAGTCTCACATTATTTTGAAGAGAAAAGATAGCTGATCTCTCTATCTAGCCCAGTAGACCAGATTAAACAAAAATGCTATTTTCTTTAATAACGTAGACGATCATACCTCTCCACATTATCCTTTTCTTTATAATCTGTAAGGAGGCATGCAGTTTTCTCAAAATACTCACCTAATACAAGGGACAAGAACTACTGTATTTAAAGGCTTATAGGATGAGATTATTGGATGAACGTAAGAGGAAACAGCAAGTACAGAATCTTAGGATAGATAATAGTTGACATTAGATTTGAAAAGTGTAAGATTGGAGTGATAAGGAAAGCATCCTCTCGGGAGTCTATTACACTAAGAAACCGTTCCTGAGAAGATGCTGTCTGAGTGGAACTTCCTCCTTACCAATTCAATACGAACGGAATGAGAAAGTATCGACCTTGTTTACGTGGTATGGCGGCTCTTAGCTGTAAAATTTTTAACTTTCATTTTTCATGGAAATTATCGATAAATTACAGAGAGGCATGCGACATTTCATCTGTGGAAAAGAGGTTGTATGGTGAAAAATAATACACCACATACAAGAACGATTAAGCTGTTTTGAACTCTGTCACGTCTAGAAAGTAAGGTGCAGGCATCTCCAGCTTAGGTATGGCATAAATAATTTATTTTTGGTCCGACCTGACTCTTATAAAGACTAAGTTAAGAGGAGTCAGGTACTGTCTGGAGCGTTGCAAAGAAAGGATTGCATCTTTAGAGATGAATCCTATATATCAGTTCTACGTCAATGAACTTCCTGATGTCATCAGTTCCCCAAGCAGATATTTATTCAGATGACACTACCATATACTCCGTCACAACTGACAAATGTAAATCTGGCTGCTGCTTTTTAAATGGACCTCCAATCAGTGGCAAACTGGGACATAAAATTGCTTCTAAATTTTAAGGTCTCCAAAACAATACTGCTCCCATTTAAGCACCACAGAGAAACTTTTTATGCTTCCTATCAGCATAGCCGGCGATAGACTACTGGAGAGCAATACACGCAACTTCTTGGTTTCACGTTTTCAACTGACTTGAAGGACGACTACAATGAATAAATGTATCTTAGCCGGCGCATTTCGTCATCTGAGGGACTTTATCAAGGCAAACACATCGGCTAAGATAAGTTTTGCTTTTGTCTTTATACTGTACGTTTACAAATATACCCTATTTGAAATTTTTGCATATATATATATATATATATATATATATATATATATATATATATATATAAAAAATATGAAGAAATATAGTCTTAAGATGTGGTATATTTATGGGATAAAGTGCTCAATATCAGAGATAGACCGAGTGTAAATATAAAAGTGAACATAGAAGTCAACACTTCGAGGCGACAATCTGTTTCATGCTAGATGCAATCGTCAGGCCACGAGTGCTGTTATTTTTCTCGGCTATTTATATATACGGGTCAGTGGTGTATTGTAGGTATTTTGGCGGTTATTTTACCAGAAGTCGGTTATTTTTTTTTATTTATTTATTTGGGTTAAATTATTTTGCTTGTTTTTTTATTTTTATTTCTTATCTTATTTATTTATTTTTTTATTTTAATCGGTGTTTTTATTAACGTGGTAAAAATTTGCTTATATAGCTTATTTAATAGCTAAAGCTATTTATTGAATTTTGGGGTTGATTGTTGTAGTTTATTCTAACTATTATTTTGGCTGGAACAGTTTTTAATTTGTTTATTACTTCACGTATTTATTTGGATTGATTATCTTTATTTGTTTTTTCTAACGGTTAGTTTATCGGGATCGGTTTGTTTATTTATTTATTTGGATGAATTTAGGTCAATTTATTTTACGTGTTATTATTTATTTGTTATACTGTATATTTTCTATTTTTAAGTAACGTAGTATTTTTTCTTTTATCGTTATATAACTGTTAAAGCTATTTTTTCGTCCGATTTTTGGTTTGATTTTTATAGTCTAACTAATATTTTGGTCATAATGGTTTGCTAATTTGTTTATTATTTACTTTATTTATTTGGGTTCATTGATTTTGTTTCTTATTTTTTATTCTGTTTCGTCTATTCTAACAGATGTGATTTGGTAATTTGTTTGGATTAAACAAACGTCGA